GTGCATATACATATATAATGCCCGCCAAAAGTTTCGGACCGGCTAAATATCTCAGAAAGTACACATTTTTGAGAAAAATGTTTTAAACAAAAATTGTAAGGTTTAAAAAGATCTATTTAATAATTTTATCAGTTTGATTTTGAGTAATGTCGCCAATGTCAGATCAAGGTCACATCGATTTGTTTTTTTTTAATGGAACACTCCATTTTTGATGCCAGAATCTAATAGCTTAATAGCTTTTCACATAAAATTATTTTTTATTAAATATTTTTCAAGTTATAAGGCTTGAAAGTTACAGTAACGCTGGCATTACACAAGGTGTCCGACTGACGACTGTGACCTCTTGAATGTTGCTCAGAATCATGTCTTGAATAACATTTGTTATGATCAAGGTCATTGGAGATTGTTTCTCTTATTTTCATTTTTACGTAAAAATGAATTTTCAGTGCAATTATTAATTTAATATATTATATTAAACATATAAAATCTGAATTGTATAAAAATGTAAAAAAAAGAACATCTGTAACATCTGTTACATATCACGTAAATTACATATTATGTATGTGATTTATAATAGATTTAAATTGATGATCAATTTTCCACAGTCTATAAACGCGAAGATATCTTTATATAAAGGAATCAAGAAGAAATAATTGTTTCTCAATGAGAGAATCTGAACGAATTTAACAGTCAAGAAAGATATAATAAAAAAATGAGAAAATAATGACAAAATTATAAATAAAATTAAACAAATATATAAAATGAGGCTCGAAAGAATCTATCAATAAAAAATGTAAAAAAATCCATCAGAGCCTACATTAGCTGTTCGGATGAACAGAAAATTCTTTATTTTCGGATGAATGTAACAAAACATTTTAATATTTCTCTAATTTTTCGTTTTCGTATTTCTTTTGAATGATTACACAGTAAATCTTACAATCTGATATGATTCTACTAATGACGCATTGTATATGACTTTGGTTTTACTTTATGAAAGTTTTTATTGTTGAAAGTTATTATTGTATAAGTTAATATTTTTGATAATCATTGGGCTATTACATAGCTAATTTGGCATTTGGATAAAGAAGAATGAACTAAATCGTCGGGAATCATCAAATGGAATTGGAATTTTCGTTACTTATGTAATTTCGATTTACATTTTGTATTGATAAGGAATTGAAAGATCAAAACGTTTATTTTATTCGTTTTATTACATTTACACGAAAATAAAGAATTTTCTGTGCCGAACAGCTAATGTAGGCTCTGATGGACTTTTTTACATTTTTTATTTATATAAGTAAAATATCAAACGTATGGTTCTCAATGGTGCTATACTAAGAACTATTATAAATATAACTTAACTGTAAATATTTTCGGTAAAATTGCCTTCCTTTATATTAACTTTTGAGCCAAAGTTTCTCCGAAACAATGTTGTATGCATGCAGTCTCTTTTATATCAATTTCTCATAATTTGTGTTGTATATTTGGCAATTTAATTATTAATTATTTCTATTTATAAATGTCTGACTGTGATATGTATATTTAGAATTTTCCAATAAATGCAAAATGCTCAGGTATTAGTAAATATTTATATTGCGAGGATATTGTAATTTATATTTTGTAAAACAAAACATATAAATAAATATAATTATAATCTTAAAATATACTTTTTTGATTCTTATCTCTTTATTATCACATTATTATTTTCTGTTAGCATTAAAAAGAATGTAAGTTCTATTTTCTGTTAGCATTAAAACGAATGTAAATTCTATTTTTTAATTCTGCATTAGACCGCATTAAAATTTTCTTTCTCGCTTTTACTAAATATCAAACATATCTATTTTACTTTAAGTTCCAAAAGCGTACACGAGTTACAGAAAACAGACCTTGCAATAAAATGACCTACTTTAATGCATTATTGTAATGGAAGAAGCATCTTGCTACTTTTGTATTAAGAGTCGTGTCTGTAACTTGAAAGATTACGACATATGCTATTGATAATGATATGCACTACTGCAAATTACTTAATAAGTGCCTGCGTTCTCCATATTCTTAAATAGTATAGACATTTCAGTTATTTGTTCGCTATTCCTTCGTAACTATCTGTCAAAAAGTTTCAATCATATATTTTATAGAAGGTATGATTTATAATACATATACCTTAATTTATAGTAATATGGAGAGTATTATTGATATAATTGACCTAAATGTTGTAAAAAAAGGGGAAAAAAAAGATTAATATACATAAAGTAACAAAGAATTATATGAAAGTTATTTTATAATGTAACATTTATGTATAATATATTTCTGGTGGAAAAATTTTACTGAAATTTCATGAAAATTTCACTGAAAGTAAAAGAATAACAAAATTGCTCAAATTTACTGTGGGTGATTTTATAAAGTAAAATTAATGTAAAGTCGCTGAAATTTAATTAAAACTTCTCTAAGTTTTCTGAAATTTCACTCAATTTCCAACCAAAAAAAGATGAAATGAATTAGTTAAAAACTTATTACAATTTCTTCATAAAGTTTTCAAAAAAGTTTACTGAATTTCTCTAACAATTTGCCGCGAATGCAATATACCACGCTGTTACCATATAGAGTTCTATTTTTTTAGTTCTATTTTAATCATTAAAATATAGAATAGAACAAAAGGAGCATTATGAGATTTTTCATCTATGGTATTCATAGTTGCATCTTATATTTAAGACTGTCTTAAATAAAGCCTTAAGATGTCATGAATCAATTAGAGAATCGCATTAGTGTCTTAAGACATTACTTAAGACTTTTTTGAAATAAAAAAAGATTATGAATACTGGCCTATGTTTTAATAATTAATAATTAAAGAAATCGGTAACTCCTCAAAATTGAATTCCGAGATGAAAATAAATCAGATATATTTTTTGTTTAGAAAAATTGTAAAAATCAATTCAAAAATCAGTCTTATGTTTGTTGTGTAAAAATATGCAATTTTGTTTTCAAATGTATTTAAATTTCATTGAAACTTTGTTAAAAAGTATTTCGAAATACTGGAACAATTTTAGCAAAATTTCAGCGAATTTTTCGGCAAAGATTTTTTCCATGAGGAATAAATTGTAATGTTTTATATACGCATTGACACATGTATATAATTATCAATGTTTGTACAAAAAGAATTTAGAAATGCGTATCTTACAAATTGTAACGGCATGGCTCATCGTTATACCGCACTGTGGCATCCATGGTTTTGGATACAATAAGAGAGGTATGACAAGTTTACAAAGTTGACAAGTTTATTTCGATTTATTTTTCGCGACTTAATATATAAAATAAAACTAAAAGAATCATAGATAATTTTTCTTTCTTATTTTCCTTCTTTATTAAAATTATTTTTTATTTTTTTTAATTAAAACAGATTAATTTGGAAATAAGATAAGAACTTAAAAATAATTATACTACTTAATTATACTTACAAACAGTGGAACCCGTGTAAAGATTAACGATAAATTTAGAGATCGACGAATAATTACAAATTGATGAGATTTTATAATTATTATTCATATTCAAATAGTAATTGTGTAAATAGCAGCCTACTTAACTTATATGTAACACTCTTTAAGATCCATCGATTGAATAACATTTTTTCTCTGTAATTTGATCTTTAAAAATGCATCTGATGAAGAATTTTATGAATTAATCAAGAAGATTAATCATCAATGATTTTTTGAAGGTATGTAATTATGTACACATTCATTATGTGTTCCAGCTACAGAATTGAATACGTATAATGATAATAACAAACATGAAGAATTACTCTTGTATTTTAAAGTAACATAGATAAAAAAATAAAAATTACTTGTTATTTGCCTGCATTTTGTAAATAATATATTTAACAAAATTAAGTGCTGGTGAATTGCTCTGCAAACGATCACAATAACAGTATGTGTAGGCTTGAAAATACCATTATTTACCATTATTACATATTATTATATTGTTAAGACAGCAATTCTAATTTCAGTTAATCAGCTAGTGTGACGAATTAAATAAACAGTCACTATTTTATAAAAATAAAACATTAGAGGAAAAATTCAAAATGAATGTATATATAATTACGTACATTAGATCTTAAAAGGTTATTAATGAGTACAAGAAAAATGTTATTTTAATGTTTTATTTTAGAGCAACACTTGTGGCCGAAGAAGTACAAATCATGCGCAGGAAAACAACAATCACCAGTGGTTATATGCACATCAAAAGCGATCGTTAAACCATTTCCGGCTCTTGAACTGATTGGTTATCATGATTTTTTTCCAATGCCGCAATTATTAAAAAATAATGGAAAAACTGGTAAATATTTTTGAATTGTGTATAATTTTACTGTTAAACTTTTTAAAAGAGCGTATACAACACATCTCTTTTTTTTTAGTTATACTTAGTATAGACAAAAATGAGACACAAGTATATAGAACATTGCCTTATATATTTGGAGGCATGCTGCAAAATCAAACATTTGAAATGGAAGAAGTGCACTTTCATTGGGGCTTAAAAAATAATAGAGGTGCTGAACATGTACTAAACGGTATAAGGTAAGTATTTATTTGTTCGAATTGAAATAAATAATAAAGAATAAATCATAGCAATGAGACATCAATATTCGTAGATATTCAATGGAAACGCATATTATACATTATAATATAGCATATGGCAATTATTTGAATGCGTTACAACACGAGGATGGTATAGCTGTAGTAGCTTCTTTCTTTCAGGTAACCAGACACACACACACACACACACACACACACACGCGCGCACACACACACACACACACGCACGCACGCACGCACACACGCACACACACACACACACACACACAAGTATTTATATTTTTACACAATTAATACAGTGCTCGCAAAGATTTGCACATTTCGGGCCGATTCCGGCGCGCCATCCCCACTACCGCTCAGCCGAGCTACCGGGCGCTCACGTGACGCTCTGGCTTACGAGCGTTTCTGGAGCTTAAACGCGCGAAAGTCGTTCCATACGTTATTAAAGAATATTTTTCTTGCAAAATAATTTTTGTTTTCTTAAAAAAAATAAAATATTAAATTTTCTAAAACATTTTGTCATAATAATTCTTGCCTATCAAAAACTATGCAATAATTGTTATAAATTTACATCGAGAAGTTTCTAGAATAACTAATATATTTTGTCATAATAATTCTTGCCTACTAGAAACCATTCAATAATTGTTATAAATTTACATCGAGAAGTTCCTACAACAGACTTGCGAAGAATAAAGTCAGGAAACACGTGGAAATTCCGTGTTTTCCATACGAAATCTTACAAAGTCTCAAATAACAAGGATTCTATCTATCTATCTATCTATCTATCTATCTATATATATAT